CCATCCCCCTCCCCCAGCCATGTCCCCCCCCCACACACACACACCCCTCGTGGGGTCCTGGTACTATGTGTTTTTGAGCAGAAACTATGTGCCTGGGTGATGCACTGTCGGCCACAGAATGCCCTTGAGAGTATGGCGAAGTCAGGAGAGAGTGAAACAAAATGCAGGACTATGTAGCACTTTAAAGACTAACAAGATGGTTTATTAGATGATGAGCTTTCGTGGGCCAGACCCACTTCCTCAGATCAAGTGGGTCTGGCCCACGAAAGCTCATCATCTAATAAACCATCTTGTTAGTCTTTAAAGTGCTACATAGTCCTGTATTTTGTTTCAGCTACACCAGACTAACAGGGCTACATTTCTATACAAGGGAGTGAGGCACTGGTGTATATCACAGTGGCCAAGAAATGCAGCTTTGCACGGTGCACAGTGTCCCTTGGTTAGTCCAGCCCTGGCTGCCACTGTTTTGGTACTCTTGTTTACACAGCATAATCCAGTCAGGATACTGTACAAAGCAAGGAGAGAATAAGTGTGGAGAGCACACAGCTGGTTACTCTGTAATCTGGTGTGATATTGTGCCCATCTTTTATGTTCTTCTGCCGTGCAAGGCTTGCACCCTCCCGTGTTCCTGCTCCCTCCACCTGGCCAGACACCCTATTCCCAGCCTGCTTCTGCATCCTACCTCCCACTCAGACCTTGCAACCTATCCCCCTTCTGCATCTCACCTCCCTCCCAGATCTGGTACCCCATCCCTATCCCACTCACTGGCAGCCCTGTCCCATACATTGAACCTCTCATTTTTGTCCCCACCCCAGAGTCTAAGGGGGTCCATAAAATCTACTAACTTCTGAAGCCTAGAAAAGTAAATCGGGCCTATGGGAAGCCCTGAACCTCAAACCTCCCTGTCCCTTCCCTTCACCCTATGGAGCTGGAGCACCTGAGGAGTATCAGTTGGGGGCCACATCAGGGAGGGCTGGGGTTTTTTGGAGATTTTTTGCTTTTCACTTGTGTGGTTCCCAACTGATTTTCTGTGGGTCAGTGACCTCTGACTCAAAAAAGGTTCCCTACCCCTGCCATAAAGAAAGAAAACATTGAAAACTTTTGCATTGGACATGAATTCTTTATTTAAAATGAAGTTCGATAAACTAACAGGACAAAGTTAAAACACTTAATCTATTTAATAATTTAAATTAAACTGTTCTCCCCAGCTGAAACACAAGCAAAATGGCTTGGGCATAATTATGTTATTATGTATTAGCAATTGTAAGTCTGCTGAAAAGTTTACATTGATCCAGGTTGGTCACAGGACAAAAAATTTGAGAACCAGTGCCATAGAGCAAACTCATTCTATTTCTTTCCCTGTAAGTGGTCTAAATGCCACTACATGGGACAGGGAACCACACCCAACAGGGAACCACACCCAATAAACACATCAGCAGGGGAATTTCTAATACACACCCTGGAATATCCCATCACTTCCTTCTCACTGTGACTAAGAGGAGAGTTTGTCTTTATGAAGCTTCTTATCTATAATTGACACTTTTAGGCCTCCTGCTGGGAGCAGCCCTCTGGTGGGAAGTGCATGTGAGATATAAAACTGCTATAAAACTGGGAGCCCAGCCAACCTCTGAAAGTGTCTTTCTCCTTCTCAGTCAGGGACCACAACAGTGTGGGTTTGTTTTGTTTTGTTTCTCATTTGTGTGTGACCCCCAACTAATTTTTCTGTAGGCCAGTGGCCCCGACCCAGAAAAAGGTTCACCACCCCTAAATCAGTGATTCTCAACCAGGGATACGTGTACCATTGTGGGTATGCAGAGGTCTTCCAGAGAGTAAATACATCAGATAATCCAGATAGCTGCCTAATTTTACAACAGGCTACATAAAAAATACACAAATTGCGTAGCTTATTTCAAGATAGTCTATTTTGAAATATGGCTCTGTCTCCTCAGTGCCAAATTTTGAAATAGACCACTATTCTGACAAGTCCCCTAATCTTTTTGGAACGAGGTTTACAGGGATGTCAGAATAGCATGCCTATTATTTCCATTACATTTTGAAATAATAGGCATGCTGTAACAATGTAGAAAATGCTATTTCAGGATACTAGACATATCCCAAAATAGCGCTGCAGTCTAGACATACTCTAAGAGTGTAGTCTTTTGCTTATTTGGGCCTATTAGACATAGGTAGAAAATGTGGGTGGTTAGGCGTTTAGTAGATTACTTCCCTGTAGCTGTACACATGAAAACATTGCAAAACAAGCCAATGATTTAAAACATGCATATTAAGCGGCGAGGAGTTCTGTGGCACCTTATAGACTAATAAGTGTTGGAGCATAAGCTATCGTGGGCAAAGACCCACTTCATCAGATGCATGTAGTAAAAATTTCCAGAGGCAGGTATAAATATGTAGGCCAGAATCAGGCTAAAGATAATGAGGTGAATCCAATCAGGGAGGATGAAGCCCACTTCTAGTAGCTGATCCTGAGGTGTGAAATGCATATTAAGAGTTCCCTGTGAGCTGAGTGCTTGGGTGCTCACCCAAGAGAGATTCAAATGCTGATTAGCAGAGCTAGCTGCCTGGCAACTCTCCCTATCCCAGGCAAACTTCCACACCAGGGTCAGCAATCTATGACATACATGCCACAAGCAGTACATGAGGTGGGAGCTCTGCCTTTCCCCTCCTCCCCCCATGCAGCCAGGAGCCTGTGACACTCTTCCCTTAATGTGTACATCTACGCGGTGATGTACAAAAAATTCTACTCTAAGCCCACTCACCTCTGCAGCAGCACTCGCTTTCCTCCTGCTCCTGGACGGTGAGTGGCATGGCTGCACCCACTGGCAACGGTGGGTGCACGGCCTTGTTGGAGGGAAAGGCTGGTTGAGGACTGGGGGGCATTGAAGCTGCAGGTGGGTGCATTGCTGCAAAAGATGTGTTGAAGCCGTGAGCCGGAGCCGAATTCGAGGGTGACTGCTTGGGCTTCTGCTCTGGCAGCCACGGCCATGTTGGTGGCCCGTTGGGGCTGAGGCCACATTGTGGGATGGCTGTTGCTGGCAGTTTGGGCCTAGAACATGTGGTGGTGGGGGGGCAGATTGCTTCCATGGCGTGCTGAAGCTGTGGGTGGGTGGGCTGCTGCCAGGGGCACGTTGATACTGCGGGAAGGTGGATTGGGAACTGAAAAGCGTTGAAGCTGCAGGCGGGTGGGTTGGGGACTGGGACAGGCCCGGGACTGCATTGGGGGTTGGCTGTTTAGGTGGCCACAGCCACATTGGGGGTTAACTGTTGCTGGGGCTGAGGTTGCATGAGGGGCAGTTGCCACTGGCATTTGAGCCCTAGAACATGCGGTGGATGGGAGGGTTGCTGCCACAGCTGGGTTGATTGCTGCCAGGGTATTGCAGCCACGGCTGGGCAGGTTGCTGCCAAGGGGTTGAAGTCATGGGCAGGCTGCTGCCAGGGGTGGGAGAGTTTTTGAAGCCCCAGGCTGGCTGCTGCTAGGGGAAGGGTTTGAAGCTGTGGGTGGGCAGGTTGCTGCTGGTGGGAGGGGGGACGTCTGAAGCGATGGGCAGGCTGCTGTTAGGGTTGTGTGGAAGCCACAGGAAGTGAGGTGCTGGGGCTTGGCGCTGCGGGCAGGTAGACAGGGACGAGCCCATGGCCACATGGGGGAGGGGCCAGAAACGGAGAGTGGCGGCGAGTTGGGCAGCCGCTCTGGCATATGCTGTAAGTTGACAAAACCTAACTCAGAGGATCGTGTCCTGCTTAAGTATCATACTACAAGCCTGAGATCGGTGAACACTACAAGGCAAAGTAAAACCAAGGATCACACTAACTGGTAAGATCTGCATCTTAATTTATTAGTGAAGCTAGTGTAAGGACTATTAATTTGACTTTAAAAAGCATCACCAGCATGCTGACCTGTAAACAGAAGCGAGTAAGTTAAATCTTAGCACACCACTTCTGAAAGGGTGCTGACTCCTGTTCCACACACTTCTATATCCCTTCCTCTCACCCATGACACTGACTTCCAATCTTCCTCCCCAGCACTTATCCTCTTTCATTCCTTTGCTTCCAATTCCACTGTGATTATTTTCAAAAGACTTTCCTGTAAATCAGTAGCTTCGGGGGGGGCGGGAGCCAAGTTAGTCTGTTACAGGAAAAAACAACAACAAATGATCGGGTAGCACTTTATAAACTAACAAAACATGTAGATGGTATCATGAGCTTTCAGGGGCACAGCCCACTTCATCAGATACTATCTACATGTTTTGTTAGTCTATAAAGTGCTACGAGACCATTTGTTGTTTTTTTCCCTATAAATCAATGTTTCTCAAAGTGGTCTGCAAAATTACTTGGAGAAATCTGTTAAATAAACACATCTGAGTCGCCACTTACCAGCACTGTGGCCACAGAGCCTCCTGACTCCAGTTCACCCTTTGCAGCCAAGGGGAGCAAGATGTCTAAGACTTCCAAAGACACAGGCTACAGTCAGCCAGGGCCATATGGATCACAGGGCTGAAAACCACTTGTCTATACAAGTGGAAAAATCCTCTGAGTAAAGTTGTTTTACAAATCCAAAACCTAACATCTTCACATTCCATATTTTGTTGCTGAATGATGGTAGCAGTAACAGATTTATAACAAATACAAAATACTGCTAACATTTTCTTAGAGGTATCATACAACATGCAATATCCATTTATTGCAACTAACTTAGTTTTACTGCAAGCACTTATTAAAAGGACGTGATGACAGCTCGAATGAAGATACAGAGTAAAATTGTTCCGTAGTACAAGTGTTCAATATATTAGCATCATAAGGCTTAGGACATTCTCTTATTAAATGCCAGTATTCCAGGTTTATTTGTACTTTGATTTACAATGTTAGACTCTGGATGTAAAATATAAAACCTCAAGAACTGAATGCCTGGCTTCCAGAATTATAAATTGTGCACAGTCATAATTCTGCATAAGAAAGGCTAATAATTAAATTGTGTTTGTATACCATACAAGAATTTTTTCATTTAGTTGATATACAATGCAATTGAGCAGTTTGATGGAAAACTGCACTCAAAACTTAAAGCAGCGTAAATTGTTATTACTGTTCTAGTAGTTGCAAATATTTTTAAAAGCAGGCTCTCTTGTTTTGACTATTACAAAATTATATTTAACTTACTGGGCATATCAAACTTTAAAAAAAACCTAACATTTTATTATGTTTTACTATCCTTCATTGCAATGTTTCTCTCTTTAACTTATTATTATGAATACCTTAAACATAAAGATTAAAAAATCCTTTCTGTGTAACCAAGAATGCTTATTTAGTGAAAGTAATAAGATATTCTGGGTAAGCCTGAATGTCATTAAATATGACAAACATTGATGGATTGTTTATCTTGTCAGTTACACTATCAAATTGATCCGTAGGATCAGTGTTGTTTTTTGATGGTGGTGTAATTAGTCCTGTTTTTCCAACACAATATTCTCCAACTAGGACTCGGGCCAGGTACATATATTTTTTCCCATTTCCATCTGGTTGAGAGTAGGTATCTCGGGCAGAATAATCGGCATTGACAGCAAAGTAAGTTCCATTCCCATAACATGCAGCTGTGAGCAGAAAGAGAAAAGTTTGAGAATTTTTCATGAGCAACAATCATTTGTCTTCACTTTGCTATAACCCAAGATACATACAACCTTTGCCAAACCTTGCCACGAATAAAAAAAAAATGAACATCTGAGGGGGTGGTGACCTGGGGCAGAGAGTTGGGGTGTGGGAAGGGGTGGGGTACCAGGTTCAGGCTCTGGATGAGAGACGCTTAGCTAGGCAGCTCCTGGCCAGCAGACCAATGGGATCCTCGGACAGGTTCCCTGCCTGCTACAGCCCTAGGCTCAAAGCAGCTGGCTGCTCCATGTGGCTCTCTGCCCCATGCGATGGGAGGGAGGCTTTGCGTGCAGCCCCCGTTCCCCCAGCACAATCTCTCAGCTCTGACTTCTGGCCAATAGGAACTCAGAGATTGTGCTGGGGGTGGGGCAGCATGGAAAACCTCCCTCTTCCCTGAGTTCATGGCGCAGAGAGCCACATAGAGCAGCCAGCCGCTTTGAGCGGTGTGGTGCTGCTCTGTGTCCAAGTGTCCCGGTGGGCCAGGCCATAGGTTGGACTGAAAGGATTGGCAGGCTGGATTTGGCCCACGAACTGTATCTTGCCCACCCCTAATCTATAGCTATACAGCAGAACTACCAGTTATTTAAACTGCAGCGTGTGATGTTGTACAAATGTGAAATTTAGAAATATACCCCAATTGTGAGCTCATCTGTAAAAAGTGGGGAGTTTCATAAAGTGTCACAATAGCTTCTAATAATAAATACTGATGGGAAAAGTATCTAAAAGGTGCAAGGAAAAAAAAAAGAGACTGAATTAGTCGAAACAAAAAGGCCTTCATATATAATTGAAAGATTGTATTAAGATCTTGCCCAGCAAATAACTGTGGGATCAGAAATCAATAAACCAAAATTGACATGTAGAATAGTAAGACTAATTGGTGATCAAAATAATAAGGGGGTGGGCTATTCTACCCATCACTCCATTTTTGGGTTAATAAAAAAAGATACTTGGGGAGAAGGGGCATTTCCTTCCTCTGATTCTCATAGGTCCTACTATCACACAGAACAATGACTTGGGACTGTGTGTTGGTGATAGGTAGTACCCTGCGGATAGCCGTGGATCATTTTTGCAGATCAGGATACCAATTTTGTATCCACAGGTAGTGACACGATTCACACTAGGGATGTAAATAATCATTTAACTGGTTAAACTGTTACACAATTAAAATTGTAACGTTTAATCGGTTAACCACCTGTCTGGCCTGAGTTGATCCAGCATGGCTAGGGTAGAGGAGAGTCCTGTCAGCCTTCCTGGGCTGAGTCGGACTGGCCAGGATAGGGGCATGGCCAGTGCCCCCACGAGGGCCAGAGTCCCACCAGGCCGCTCCCAGCGTGCACCAGTTCTGGCTGTGCTTTGGGCTCTACAGAGGCTTATTCTGCAGAGCCTGCAGTGTGGAGCAGCAGCCAGCTCCCCAAGAGCGGGACCGGGAGCAGGCACACATGGGGAGGCAAGAGTTTAACCCATATCAGGCAACCATTTAAACAATTAAACTCTTACCTCCCTAATTCACACCATATTTATTAATAATCCTAGAGACTGGGAGCTGACTGCTATACGCATACCTATATGCCAGTCTACTTAGGCAATTGTACTGTCCCTGTAGATTGTTTTTGCACAGCAAGTACAGAGACACAAGAACTGCAGGATCGTACCTAGATAGTAGGTCTGGTTGAAAATTTCCATAAAACCATTTTTTATTAAAAAAAATAGGCTTCTGACCAAATGATTTTTTTCACAAAGAATGTTACGTTCTGCCAGAAAAAAAATGATTTTTTTTAAAGTCAAAAAAACCCAAATGCATAAAAACAAAAAGTTTTTCGCATTTGGCTGAAAAAATGAAATATTTTGGCCCAAAAATTAAATATTTTGATTTGGATATGCTGTCACTGTTGCCTTCCTCATTCTCCTTTGTGTACCAAGATCTCCACCCCACACTACATCTCTCATGACACACTGTGACCAGAGTATCTCACAATGCAACTCCCTTCTGTAGAAGGGGCGACTGATGAAACATAGGAGATGCAGTCTGACCAGGAATCTCCGTCTTTGGGGAAGAATGAAACATGGGGCATCTGAACAGCTGCTCCCGTAAGACTCTGCAGCTGATTTCCAATTCAAAACATTTCTGTTGTGGGCCAAAATATTTCAGGTTTTGATTCTCTCCCCTCCCACTAAAATGTTGAACTTTTCTGGAGTTAAGTTCTGAGAACAAATTTATTTTTCTCATTTTCATCATCATCTGCTGTGGATCAAGAATCAGCTTTCTGGCTCTCTCAACTGACTTTGGAGAGGGCTAAAGAAAGCTTTTTTTGGCCCCAAAATATACTGCTTAAAGTGAGACTAAGCCATACGAAGAGGATATATCCCCTCAACCTGCTCTCTTCACAGTGACATGCCTGGACTTTGGCTAGGCCCCTATCCATACCACCTTGCTAGCTAGCTGCAGTTGTTCTGCATGCTGCCTGTGGTCCTTGGGTTTCTTAGCTGCCACTGCAGTTGACTGCAAAATGTAACCGCAAGCCATAGAGCTGGAGCAAGTCAGCAGGCAACACTGAAAAACTCAGCACAGAGAATAGGGGGTTCCTTTAAACTGACAGCTTTCCATACCCACCAGTCAGTTCCCTGGGGCGTGAGGCAGCAATATCTATGCCCAGTATCACAGGAGGTGCCATGAGGGAAGCAGCAGCCCACAAAGCACCAGTGAGGCAGGTAAGGGCCAATGGGGCTGTGGGGATGAAGTACGGAGAGGGAGGGAAGGAGAGGCATGGATCTCAGACAGCAAAAGGAAGCAGATACTTGTGGGTGGGGTCCTGTGCCCTGTAGGTCAGACAGGAGGAGAGATCTGGGGAATGAGGGCTCTTGGGACTGAGGAAGGAAGAAAATGGGGAGAAGTGAGGATCCCTGGAAGAAAATATTTGGAGACTGGGAGGTGTTTGCTCTGAGATCTTCTGATGAAAGGAAGTGTAGAAATGTTAAGAATCATTACTGTATTACTGCTTCCAAAGAACAGTTGAGGCACATAAGGATTACAACTTTATACAGCAATTAATAGTCTCCAGGACCAGTACGATCATTGTGCATTGGAGACAAATATATAGGCAGCACGATAACTTTACACCTTGTCATTCTGTTTTGTCCCATGCTCATGAAAACAACAAGCTGTACATTTCACATTACCATTCATTCCGGCGTAACTGCGATTAAATCCCTTGTTATTAATAACGGTTAATGAGGTACTCGTCGTTCCATGAAACAGAAGCTTCTCATTGTTGGTGTGGCCATTTTTGGAATCCATCTCCTGCTTTTTTATTTGGTAGGCCCGCCAGTAGTATGGATTTTGTATCCTTTCAATCTACAACATTAGAAAAATGAAATATTGATGATGTCTAATACTCTTCACGGCATCAAATCAGAAAAACATGATGATTAATTATAAAGGGGGACTTTCTACCCTATTTATAGTGATATTCCCCTTGAATAGAGTAATCCCCACTAAACTCAGTGTAATTCCTCCAAAGTGACATAGGTATAATTGATTTTGTGGCTGGCACTGATTGTGTGATGGTGATTAATTATGATAAATACAGCACTCGGTAATACATGAAATTGAAGCCTCTTGTTATTTGTGCTGTCATATTTGAAATCTGTTACCTGCTTCTTTATAGACAGGTTTCAGAGGGGTAGCCACGATAGCTCATGATACCATCTACATGTTTTGTTAGTCTTTAAAGTGCTACTAGAATGTTTGTTGTTTTTTAAGTTTTTATAGACAGGGTTGCTATTAAGTAAGGATGTGGTATGTGGTACGCTCTCTATCTACAACGTTAAACAAATGAGATGTGATACTGCTAATGACCAACATCTTCAATTAAAGCACATTGATATAGGCATTGAGAGCAGCACCTGGCCCACAATATGACAAAAGCGACGAGGAGTCCTGTGGCACCTTATAGACTAACTGAAGTGTAGGAGCATAAGCTTTCGTGGGCAAAGACCCACTTCGTCAGATGCATGTGACAAAGTATTCCACTTTCCGAGCTCCTGTAACTTGTCTTTTTTTATAGCTGGTTAGGAGGATATCAAAAATATACAGACTATCCAATAAGAACAAGCAGTAGTAGGGAAGCAAAATTCCATTTAATTGGTCAACTGTTTAAACAGGTTTAACTGGTTAAATGATTAAAGGGGGCATGGGAACAGTCCCCGACCTTGCAGCCTGGCCAGAGCAGCCCCTGCCTGTGGGGGCACCCGGGCTTCCCGTGGACAGAGCAGATGACCGGAAATGAAGAGGATGTAGGGGGGGATGAAAAGGAAGGACAGCACATCCACTGCTTTTTAGCAGAGAAAGGCGGATCTGTGCTCCTGAACTCTTCCTTATTTTAGCTTCTAGCTTGCTGGAAATTTAACAACAATGCATTGCTATACTCCACAAGCATATCATGGAGTAGTCAACTAGATGTTTAACCAATAAGCTGAGGTAAATGATGTACCACTAGTCACGAAAAGCAACCGGTGAGTGCGATTGCACCAATTACACATTAGAAGATCTCAGCAGAAATGTGGAGGTTCTAGGGGAAATCTCCATCAAACAGTAAAAGTTTCTGAAAGGGGTGTGCTGGCCATTCCCTAAAAACACTCAACAGGGACGGGGCCATCAACCACTTCTTACTTACGACACTAAGGTGGCGAGATGATCTGAAAGCTTTTAACGGACTGATGGGCTTTCCTCTCAAGAAGAGCCAGAAACTCAGCTGATATAAACCGACATAAATCACCTTGGCTCCATTGAACCCAGTGAAGTTGTCTCAGTGCTCAGATATAGGGGAAGAAAGGTAGTACGGATAACTTTCCATAACTAGTCACTATTCTCAGCATACCACTGATTAGACTTATTCCGAGAAGCAATCTCACTGGAAGGTTGAGAAGATTGACTTTACTAATCTTCTGAAAACTGGTGCTACATATGTGATAGTTTAGCTTCCTTTTTGAGCTTCTTTGTTCAAAGCAATATCAAGATCCACATGTATATTATAAATAAAGACAGATTAGGAAAAGATATTCTCGGCTTTATCGGCTCAAAGCTGGGCAAGAAGGCATACATTTGTAACAGTGAGGGAAATTAACAAATGGAACAATTTACCACTTGTACGGGTGTGGACTCTCTCTCACTGGCAATTTTAAAATCAAAGTTGGATGCTTTCTAAAAGATCTACTCTATTCAAAATTAATTGCTTTGGGGAAGTTCTATGGCCTGTGTTACACAGAAGCTCAGACGAGATGATCACAAAGGTCCCTTCTGACCTGAAATGAGAGCGTCTATTAACCATTCCTGTCCTATCAAGGAATTCTCCAAATTTAGAAATCTAAACCAACTCTTCTTGCACCCTTCGTTATTATCTAAAGTAGTTTCAGTCACCAAGATATATAGGCTCAGAAACCAGTATTTTACCTTTTCAATTTTGAAATTTGCACATGTCTGTTGAAACTGTGTATGAACATCCTGATATTCTTTCATTTCTGGATGTAGCATCACCACTTTGACACGTTCTTTGTTCATATCACACCAATCTGCAGGGAGAGCTACTGACACATTTCCTGAAAAGTAAACATTGTGTTAATCTTATTTACACTGGGTTCCCCAGGTTATGCAGTCATGTTCCATATTACAAACTCTTTCAGAAAACAGAACACTCATTTATTATCCAATCCCTAACTAATGTCATTCTTTTCAAGAACATGATTCTGGATCAGATTTACTGATGCACCCAGGCTATATTCTTCCCTTCTGGTGGCTCAGAGCAGCCATAAACCTATATGAAGGTTCACAGGTAGCCCACCAGGGGTGCATCTACACAGCAACATTTTTTCACAATAACTTAAAGTCTGTGTCAAGCTGGAGGACTTCTTACTCCGACTCCTGTAACCCTCATTGTACTAGAAGTAAGGGAAGTCTAAGGAAGAGTGCTCTATTTCAAAATAAGCTACACAGTTGATGTAGCTCAACTAGCAAAATTTATTTCACGTTAAGCCCTGCTGTGTAGACACACCCTAGCTTCTCCTGTGCCACACACCTCCCTGGGCCAAGTGGTGGCTAAAGGAAAAGGGGTGAGGATGGTTTGTTCCCTAGCTGCTAGAACTGGAATCAAGAGACCCAGAACTGAGGGAACTGTAAAGGTGGCTCCAAGTTTTATACTGACCCCAGCTCAGCCAAAGTGGAGAATATGATCCAGAATTTTCCACTTTGCTCCCAATCTGTTCCATCCCTTATCAGATACATTTAAGAGAGGTTTGGGACATTTCAAAAAGTGCTTACTCTTAGCCAGACTCCACTTTGGCATCGTCATATTTTTCCATATTTGTATTGTGGTAGAGCCTAGACACTACAAGGGAATTTATTTGTTGTATTTAATGTTTTCATTATATCAAGAAAAGAAAGATTGTGCAGACTGAACAATGATCAAATTAAGGAGGGCAGCCGAGTCTTCCAACTCTAAATATTACTCTTCAGAGAAAGGCCTGCAGATTTGGCCCTGCTTAGTTTTTACTCAGCCTAACTGGGGACTCAAGCAAACTCATATTGAACTCACTGGAAGTTTAGCTGAGTGAGGACTGCATAAAAATTAATAGTAATGTCAATACCATATTAGGGCCATATTCTGAGGACATTAAAGGGCCACAATTTGATACCGTTGCTCAGTTTCCACACAATCCTTAATTAGGTAAGTTCCCATCAAAGTAAACAGAGATTTAGCTGAACTAAAGACCGAGTAAAACCTGAATAAGGACCACTATATTTTAACACACTCTTAGATTAATCTATATTAGGGAATACCTAAATTAGTCTGCAATGAACTTATTGCTGAAGAAGGGCTTTTTGTAGTGCCTTTCACAACCCCTCCTTATGAATTCATGACATGGGGTGAGCAGAAATTTTGACCATGGAAAGGTTTGGAAATGGATATAGCCCACCCTTCACCCTTGTATCTGTTTCTGGAAGTGATGGGGAATGGGAGACAGCCACAATTAATCCTAGCGTCAACAGGCATCTGGGAGAAAAAGGGGGTTTCCTTATCAAACTAAACATGGCTTCTCTTCCCCTCAAAATATAAAGCCCAAATGCCACTGCAGCTGCCTTTCTCTGTTCTTATCAAAGAGGCTAAGATATTAGCTTCATTGTCAATTGGTGTGAAACTGACCTGAATTTAAGGCAAAGCATTCCTCTGTTTAAATCCCCCTCAATAATGTCTTTTCAGGAATGATAAAGATTACATTAAAACCAAAACTCTCTCCAAGAGGAACAATTATAGAAAAGCAAAGCAAACCAGGGCCTTCTGAGAGAAAAATGATCACCCTTTGTGACTGTAATTATACTATTCCTTAAACACAGGAACATTCATTCTAGTGGGGGCAGATGATGAACAGCTCCCCTTAGGAGTACCTCATTATATATGCTACAATAGTGCTTTTGAAGCTACAATGCCACTGTGCTAATATAGTACAGTAAACTTCCGATAATCCGGCACCTTTGGGACCCAGGGGGTGCTGGATAATTGGATATTCCCGAGTACCAATGGGGGACTATGAAGGGTCGGGGCGTGGGGGACGCGCAGCGTGGGCAGCACTCCAGCTGCTCTGCCCCTGGCTTCCCTAAGTTCGCTGCTGCTGAAACTGACCAGCAGTGGACTTGGGGAAAGCTCTGTCCCCGGCTTCCCCAAGTCTGCCGCTGGTCAGTTTCAGCAGTGGTGGACTTGCGGAAGCCGGGGGCAGAGCAGCTGGAGTGCTGCTGGGTTGGTCTCATAGTGCCGCTCAGTCGACCACCCCAGATGCTCTGCCCCTGGCTTTCCCAAGTCTGTCACTGGTCAGTTTCAGCAGCGTGGGACTTGGGGAAGCCGGGGGCAGAGCAGCTCCAATTGTCCAGCTGGCCAGAGCACTTCTGGGTTCCAGTTGGTGCCGGACTATCAGGAGTGCCAGACCACTGGATGCCAAACAACTGGAGTTTTACTGTACATATTTAATAGAAAGATAGCCCCTGCCCAGAAGCATTGATATAGTCCAAGTGTAAGATGAGAGGCAACAGATGGATATAACTGAAGAGGGAATCTCAGGATAAGAATGTGATGATTATGATCTATGCTACATGTGGTGGTCCCAGCACATCAGGTTCCTAGTTGTGTTATTTGTAGCCATGTATTTTGTTTCTTACAATCCAAGTGTAAGAAGTTCATCATCTGTGTTTCCTTTCCTAGCATCTTTCTCAATTCTCCAGTATCTGGCTGCTCAGAACGGTTAGGATTCCAGATGTGCAAAGGAACTGCCACTTTTTTTGTCCCTTGTACATTCCCCCCACAGGGCACCCATGCTAGGCTAGATACAACACGGCCCTAAGTTACACCAAACAGTTTTTATTCACCTTCATCTTTTGAGACTCGTTGAATGGCCATCCCTTTCCCTTGGTCATCTATAGCACGTTTGGCTACCATATTCACTTTATAGTGTTTTCTCTTAAAGGTGATGTCAATCTCTCTTTGGCTTACGGCTGCAGCATCTTCTAAGCGTAGATTGGTTATTTTGTCAAAAGGCAGGTACTGGTTATCTTTGAAATACTGCCACTCCACTAGGTTGCTGAGAAGTTCTGCCTTGGACTGTTCTTCTTGAACCTCTCTAACTCTTCTGATCATGTCTTGAATTTCCAAGCTAGCACGTAAGACATCTTTGGTAACACCAGAAATTCGAATGAAAGGCACAGGCTCCTTGCATTCCAGCTGAATGACTATAAGCAATTTCTTTTGGAGTTCTGCCAGTTGCTTATATTCCTGTTCATCAAAACTTGAAATCCATTCATCTGAGATAGTGTTTTCATGTTGTTCCTTTAAAATCAAGTTTTTAATCCAGGATACAGCATCTTTCACGTTTTTTTGGCTTTCACCACAAATCTGAAAAATGGTTAGCTCAAATTTCTTCTGCAAAACCACTGCTTGCTTTTTTTCTGTAGTACGTTTTCCAAAGCCAAAGAATGCTGGAATGAAGTATACATACTTGCAGTTACTCAGTTGCTAAAATTTAAAATCAAGCTTATATATGCCTCTACTTAGAAATGTACGAGACCTCTACTTACAAACAACTTTTGAAAACAAGGACTCTGATGTAGATGCTTCAGGTATATTAGTAGTACCCTCTCTTTTCTGCATACTTGCAAGGAACACACTCATCAGTTGTGGCTGGAAGATGATAATTTTAATGGTTTTCACAGATTGAACGGATTTATCACTTGCAAATTCAACTACCGCATCCATCATGTTATTAGCAACTACTCCTGGGTCAAAACCTGCTTGACCTGTAAAATATATACAAAAAAACCACATATAATTATTACAGTCTGTGGAAAGACACTGCATGCAGATATCGTTTTCTTCAAGTGATGGACCCATGCACAACTAGATCGTAAACACAGGGCCAATCCTTCATTCTTTTGTTTCAATGATTCTCATTCATTTGAATAGACATTTTGGATAATAAAGGAATGCAGAAGCAGGCCTAATGAGAATAGGTTCACATCCCATCCATGTAAGCCCTCTTCCTGCTCCTACTGAAGACAGAGCTGAAACTCTCACAGACTTCAGTAGGAATAGGGATAGGTCCATGGACACCTTCCAGAGGGATGTCCATGAACATCAGGCTAACTGAGACTAGCATTCACAGTTTTCTCGATAGTACAGGTTGAATCTCTCTAGTCCAGAAACATCTGTTGTCGGGAATGATTGTATTTAGCCAAATGTCCATTTTTCATGGGTGTAGCCAAGTTTCCTGCAGTCCCATAAAGTTTATTTACAGCCACCAGTCCTAACTCTCAGTGTTTTGTGCAGTTATTTAACTCTAAATTATCCCTAAATGTCTTCTTATCAGCCCAGGAAGCAATGGAAGTGCTGGTAATGCTGCCAGCCAATATTGACTTCCTGTGATCCAGAAAATTCTCGCGTTTGGAACTGGTCAGGTCCACAAGGTGCCAGATTAGGGAGGTTCAACCTGTAATAATATATGGTTATTTTCAAGTCACTAATGTTACAATATAGCAGCCTTAAATCATCTGATATGGTTTTCATATTTGAACTAACAATAATGATTTGCAGCTTTCTTATTTCAAAATCCTTGCTGACTGCTACTAGGCATTATCTGAATGTCCCAACACAACAACAATTTTCTTAATAGGAGAATAAACTTTTCAGGTAAATCACATCCTTGACACACAGATATCAATGGAATCACACAGGATGAATTTGGTCTCATGACCGCTGATTGGCTTTAGTTTATTTTCTAAAGAAAACAAAAACCTGTTCCAATTGCTGGGAAAGCAACAGATGTGTAGTTCTTCAGTTCACACTCCTCGAGCACTTTGGAGACCAAAGACTTGGTATCATTCTGGGCAACAAGATGGATGATTTTTTTGCATGCCAGATTTCCTGGTTGCGTAGTTATCAAGTCATTGTGAGGTTGCAAGGCTGTAAATGAAAGAAAATATATAAGGCACGACAAAGTGATAAATCCTTCACAAGAACATAAACTTTTCTACCTCATCCTCACCCCACCTGCCTGTATTACCCTTTCCTTACGTCCCAGTCTCCTTCTGCAGCAGATTCAAACCCTCCATCCTCACTTGCAATGCCACAGCTCATCTTCGGTACACCTCTTACCTGTTTTTTGTCCTCAGCTTATTCTGTGCACTCAGTAAATTTGCTATAACTCAGCGTTGTACTGGTATCCTACCGCAGCTTGGCACCTTTTCTCTTTTAATCCCTTTACCTGGACTCTCCTCTCTGGTTTTGTGGACTACACAGCCTCAGTCCTCTTACAACTCTCCCATCAGCCCACTTCCTTCAGTTGCCTTTCAGTGCTAACCTACATATTTGCCTCTTCCCTGACTTTTTCCCCCTCCAGTTGTGTGTACTTAAACATGGAGCTCATTATTTTTTGTCAGATCTTTATCTTCCAATTGTTGTATTTATCATTTCTTGATGTATTATGTCTAAAATTAGACATAATACAAATTCTACTGAGGTGGAAACTTTTTTACTTGTCTCTGAGCAATACGGAATATGTAGTGGATTGCAGATATAGGCCCCAGGATTATTTTAGAGCAGTGGTCCCCAACCTTTTGGGGCTGCCGGGCGCCTGGAGGCGGGGCTGCGCACGCACCCAGGGCTGGCGCCACCCACGTGCCACGCACCCGGGGCAAGGCCAGCCCTGATCACTCCGCAGGCGCACGTAAGTGCCCCGCGGCTGGCACCATGTTGGGGACCACTGTTTTAGAGCATTGAGGGGCAAGCTATGCTAGTGAATGGGCCGCATGGGTGGCTCTCCATCTCAGTGGGCCACAAGATTGTCTTAACCAAGACATCTCCTGTCAACTACACTTGTGTACCTAGCATTTGTGGGATGTGCTGATAGAACCACAGCAGCGCTTTGACTGGCTGCAGAGGGTTCTTACAGTCAATATTGTGTGCAAGCAGCAAGTATCTCATTTCATGTGTCCTTGCTTTAAGTGTGTATTACTTTTGTAATACTTGTAGGAAAAAACCTAGGAGGATGAAAACCAGCAGAATTTGGCAACCCTGTGCATAAACAAATGTAAACAAAATGTGTCACGGGCCGCACATAGAATCCCAATCAGCCTCATGGGGCCCTTCGGCACAAGTTGCCCACCACTGCATTACAAGCAAAGTCTTATGAAGTTGCTCCTGGATGCTGCAGCTTATTTCCAAAGACACCCTCCAACTCTTTGTTGGCTGCCCTGTTTTGAAAGGTATGACAGGCAACAACAATATGAGATATAGCAGTGGTCCCCAACCGTTTGGGGTTGCCGGGCGCCCGCGGGGGCGGGGCGGGGTCCCCCCATAGCCGCATTCCGGGGCCGGCGCTCTCCCCTCAAGCGCCGCGCGCCCGGGGCCGGTGCTGGTGCTCTCTCCTCCCCCTCCCCCAAGCGCCGTGCGCCCGGGGCCGGGGCTCTCTCCCCCCCTCCCCAAAGCGCCGCGCGCCCGG